CTCTCTCTGTCCCAAAAATAAACGTTGAAAAAAAAAAATAAAATTACTGTCAGCAGTAAGAAGGCATCCAGAATTGTCACTAACCAACGCTGTGGACACCTAGCCACATGCCTGCCATGCGTAACCCTGGGCCACATGCCCCACTGCCTCGGGGTCTCGGGACCGTCCTGAGAGCATTGGCAGAGAGCCCGCTGTGTGACCCAAGGTGATTTGAATGGTCTTCAAGTTGATGGAGCCTTCAGGTACAAAGCCCACCCAAACCCCAGAGCTTTGCTACTCTTCTCTCAGAAAGAGGCAGTTATTCAGAATAGGTACAACCTCAAATTCCAAGATGAAAGAGCTTCTATCAGATATATACACATGAACTGTTCAAAAGCCAACTCTTAGGGTTTTGTGAGCATAATAGTGAAAAAAAGATCAGTTGATAATTTTTTTATATATTCTTCACTAAAAATAGCTACTTTATCTATCCACCTATCTACCTATTTATTTTTAAGTCATCTCTACACCCAACATGGGGCTTGAACTCACAACCCAGAGATTAAGAGTTATGCCAGCCAGGTGCCCCCAAAATAGCTATTTTGGACACAGTCTAAGGATTAGATTTGTAATGAGATTTGAGCCATTCTAAAATAATAGAAAAGGAATTAAGTAAATCAAACCCCCCAGGACAGAGAGAACTGGCGAGGAAAGCACAGTGGAAGGGGAAAGGCTGATGGGCCAGCAGCAATCTACTCTGTAGACCGGAGAAAGCTGTGGTAAGCCGCCTGCAGGAAGGGCGGCTGGCGAGAACGGGCCGGTTCACTCGGGGTGCGCTCGGACAGAACCAGGGACGGGAGGCACAGGCGTCTCTGAAGGCCGGGTGCAGGTCGGGCTCGAGACAGGAGGCATGGTGGTGAGGTCCCAGAGGAGCAGCGAGCTGGCTGACTCCCGCACTGCCCCTTCCAGCTGGGGACTGTGCTTCCATGCAACAGAGAGCCACGGTTCACTGTGAGCTGAGCCACTCCACACTCAGGCAGCTGGCGTGGCTGAGACTGGTCAGGCAGGAGGTGGAGTCCTTTCAGGGAAGCCACCCTGCCCGAAAGGCCTGTGGGAACGCACAGCTCTAAGTGCCCTTTCCGCAGGGTGCCTTCAGATACGAAGAAGGATGGATAAGGAAAGCCTGCAACATGAATCACAGAGCCCAAAACAAACACAAAAATTCAAGAAAAGCACCGAGACAAAAGGGTCTTTCAAGAAAACTAGGTTCTCAGAGACCAGGAAGATACTGCACCCATCCAAAAAGAATAGAGTGCTATAATAATGGAAAGCTCACGGAGTAAGAAAGATCATGGACTAAAAATGCAATAGATTCAAAACAAGGAATTGGAATTAAAAAAGGTGAGCAAGAGCCCATGATGGCAGAAGGGAAGGGAGGAGACCCACCCACCATGGGGGGCCTCTGCTGATCCCGGTCAGGGCTGTGTCCCTGAAGACATTATGCTTGCACGGGAGCTGAAGGACAAGCAAGACTTTCGGAGGAGAACAAGGCCTGTGGGCAGAGGAAAACTTCAGGTGGGAAGGAGAACAAGAACACTGTTGCTAGAGAGCAGAGCCAGAGTGTAAAAAGGTGGTGGGCCAGGTCCTAATGAGCCCTGGGGACCTTAATTTTATTTGGAAGACACGGCACGTTGGTTGTTTCTATCGGTAACTGTGTTCTAGTTTCTAACTGGGGATAAAACAGCGCATCTTATCTCCACCCCAAATTTCCTGTTAGGCCCACTCTCAGTTTCGATTCTATGGCTGTGTGTGTGTGTGTGTGTGTGTGTGTGTGTGTGTGTGTGTGTGTGAGAGAGAGAGAGAGAGAGAGAGAGAGAGAGAGAGAGAGAGAGGGAGGGAGAGAGAAAGAGAGAAAGAAAGAGACAGAGAGAGAGAGTGCATGCACACCAGCTGAAGGGCCACAGAGCCTATTTTCATGAAGACGGAACAGGAAACTGCTCTGGCCCCCGCTCCAGGATTCTGCCCCGACACTCTGCATATGACCAAGGCCACTAGAAAATGCCAATATGTGCTGTGTGAGCAGCATAGCTCTGGCTCAGGAACACACTGCTTACTTACAGTTTAGGAACAAGGGCAAATCTCATCCTACTCAGCAGCTCGTCCTCTTGGAGCATGATCAGGGCAACAGGGTACATCTGATCAAAGTCAAAATTAAACTGCACTCCAGCTGGAGGATCACGAAGGAAATTCCTCTTGTCCTTTGATGAAAAGGGGAAAAACATGGGGAAAAATGTAGACAGCAATTAATATGTAACAGTGCATCACCAGTTTGACAAATATTCAATTCTCCTAAAGATTTCAGCCACAAAATCCACTGAAGTATCATTAACCTGTCTGCTTGAGAGTGGAGAATGACCAATCCTGTCATGTATTTATCATTTATTTTTATTTTTTAAAGTTTATTTGAGAGAGCAAATGCACACAGAGGTGCACATGTGCGCACGAGAGGGGGGAGGGGTAGAGAGAGGAGAGAGAATCCCAAGCAGGCTCTGCCCTGTCAGCATGGAGCCCCTGAGATCACAACCTGAGCTGAAACCAGGAGTGGGACACTTAGCTGAGCCACCCAGGTGTCCCCTGTCATGTATTTTTTTAACAGTCTCCACTGAAGAGAGCCTTGTGGGAGGCCAGGAAGTTCAATCATGCAGTTAGTTGAAATTACAGAGTTTCAAATCATATGAATGTACATTTGTTCCAGCGAGTATCTTTATGTGAAAACTACTGTAAAATAATCTTAGAAAATTGGCTGCTTAAATAATCTTAGAAACTGGCTACTATAAGCATCAGTTTCATCATATCTTGCCCGTGTTAGATTTTAACCATATTTTTGGTTTTTGAGATGCCTACATCAATAAAGAACAAATCTGAACCTAAATAGGGTTTAGTTATTTTACCTTCTCATGTAAAAATTTCAAAGTCTAAAAATTGCCGTATCACGTTTCACCTGGATTTCTACAGCAGCCGCTGAAGGGGCAAATATCTCCAGTCCCATTTCTCCCACCCAGAGCAAGCAACTTTCTACCCTGTCGCAAGGAAAACATGTGTTTTACTGGTCACTAAAACCCTTAAATGACTCGTTTGTCGCCTTTGAGATGAAACCTAAACTTACCAGAATGATACAGAAAGGTCTTCATGATCTGGCTCCATATCCACACCTCCACCTGCACCATGCAGTCCAGTCATATCCGAATGCTTACAAAACCCCCTACCTGAATGTCAAGCCCTGCCCCACATCCCCCAAACATCCTCACACCCTCCTCCCAAGACTCATGACTCCACTCCAACGTCATCACTTCTGGGAAGCTGCCCTGAGATCATCCTCTTCCCTCTCCAAAATCAGGGACATGCCGCTTTCCTTGGTGCTTCGTTGCGTGTCCTGCACGACAGTGTTCAGCATGGGAGCGATGCTATGTGTGACTCCACTAGCAGATGTCCAGTAAGCCTTCGGGCTCTGGAGGGCAGGTCTCAGCCACCTCCAGGCCCAGGACTAGGCTGGCCCAGGGGAGGTTCTAAACACAATTTTCTGAATTGCATTCTCCCAACTACCTAATGACAGCTGTACTATCAATTTCTTTTTTATGCATGATGCCCTGAGGGGTGCCCCAGCACGAGAAAATTAAAGGTCTACTCTGCTATAGGCTCTGAATTGTCCCAACTAGTGCTTGGCAAGTAGGAGAATGTAGCAACTCTGATGGAGAGATTGCTAATCATCTCCCAGTATCCCTTCCTCCCTCCCTTCCAGGATCACAACTCTTGAGTTCCAGCTGGGCATGTGGCCACCCAGCCAGAGACTGGATTTCCCAGGCTCCCCAGCATTAGGAGTGGCCATGTGTCTAAGTTGCCAAAGGGATGTAGGCCTGAGGGATAGGTGCAATTTCTGAGTCTCATCTTCCAAATGGTCTGGTGTACCCACCATCCTCTTTCCCAGTTCCCACAGGCTGGAACACAGGCACGGTCATGAGAGCTGACTTCACCACAGAGAAGGCAGACAACAGTCTAGGGGCTGGCATAGGATAAGATTAACACAGGAAATACTTGGGTCTATAGATGAGTTCATGGGAAAAGCACACCTACGTGGACCATCTACCTCTAGACTCTTACATGAGGGGGGAAGAGGGAGGGAAAGTCACAGCTTGTTTAACCTATTGTATTTTTTTTATTTCTTCACTATAGCAATTTAGTCCATCTCTTAAAACATTCAGAAGCCACCATAAAGAATGTACTGAAGATGGTTCAAAGCCTCTGGGTCATGCTGGTATCTTGAGTGCTCTCTTGCAGGCATGTCCGTGTGCAATGTTCACTGCATCATCCATTCAGCAGATGCCCATTGAGTACCTGCTGTGCCCCAGGCACCGTGCCACCTGCTCAGCAGGGCACAGCACAAATGGAGTCCCTCCCTGCCTGCACAGCGTTTCCATTCCACTTGTGGGGTGGGGGAGTGGGAAGAGACAGACAAGGGTTTAGACTGCTAAGGCTATGAGATGGGGTGACTAGTAGAGGGCTGAAAGGGTGGCGAGGGAGGTGACCTTTGAGATGAGATCTTGTGGAATGGTGTAGGGTGGGCTTCTAGGAAGAGTGGACAGCAAGCACCAGGCACTGAAGCAGGACAAAGCTTGGCTCACTTGTGTTCCAGAAAAAAACAGTGGCTGGAACACTGGGACGCAGGGCAGTGGGGCACGAGGGAGGTGAGGGATGCAAAGCCAAGGGCCTTTGAAGCCAGTGGAAGGGGTTTAGATCCTAGCCCACGTGAGACGAGATGCCATTAGAAAGCTCTATGTGGGAGAGTGACACGAAGGGATTTACATCATAAATGGGACCCCTGTGGCTGCTGTGAGCTTGTAGGGAAAGGGGTAAGGATAGGACAGCGGTTGGGACGCTGAAGGCAGGAGATGATGGCATTGGGATCGCTATGGTGGCAGCAGCAGTGGAGAAGTGGTGTAGAGGTATATCAGGAACATAGCGTTGTCAGGTTGCAGCAGGCCCAGGCGGGGTGGGGGTGGGGTGTGACTGAAGGAAGACTCTTGGGTTAGTGACTAGAACAAACTGGTGGATGACTGGAGTCTTATTTTGAGATGGAGAAGATGAGGACAGGAACAGGTCTGGGGGACAGAGGAGCTATGAGGACTTACTTGATTGTGAGTATCTGATGTCTGCCCTCAAATGACAGTCTCACTGTCCCAATTCTCTTCTGGAGATAAGCATTATGTGATGTCAGCATCAAGCTTGGCCACAACACAGTAAACAAAACACATGGTGTTCATACTGAACTTGCAATGGATCCTCAGGCCTTTAAAGGGCTTACTAATGGAGGGGCACCTGGGTGGCTCGGTAGGTTAAGCATCTGACTCTTGGTTTCCGCTCAGGTCATGATCTCACAGTTCGTGGGATCAAGCCCCATGTGAGGCTCTGTGCTGACAGCGTGGAGCCTGCTTGGAGTCTCTGTCTCTATCTCTCTCTCTCTGCCCCTCCTCTGCTTGCACTTGCTCTCTCTCTCTCAAAATAAATAAACAAACTTAAAAAAAATCTTTTAAGGGGTTTACTAATGAAAAAGAAAAAATCTTAAAAATGCCCTGGGGGAGGACAATGGAAGCAAAGTAAAGCCCAGCTCTATGTCTGTTTTCTAGACTGAAGTTCCATTTATGACTTTGGTTAAAAAAAAAAAAAAAAAGAGTAGATTAAAAACAAAGCTTGAAAACCACTGATACAGTCAAAGCCCTATTTGCTGAGTCCCCTGCCAGGCAGGCTGCTAGGTGCTGAGGACAGAGATCAAAGCCAGTCTCTCCACCCACTAAGAATCCACAGCCCAGTGGAGACACATGTAAGGAGTGAGTGTCACATTTGGGAGTCACAGTCATCACGCCTGCACGACGGCAATAAAAGGCGCTACCTACCTCATAAACGTACAGTGAGGCTTAAAGGAGATAATGGGTAAGAAAGTTCTTTCTGAAAGTGTCAGGTACTGTATAACTGTTAACTGGTATCACTATGTTCCCTCTGAAATCCCAAGAGAAATCTTTGTAGGCCAGCAAAGAAAAGTTTATTTCTTTCAATTTCATTTTAAAATGCATATGATAGTTAAAGAGAAAATTTAGAATACAATCTTTTCACTCAGATGAACTAGAATGATATCTAGAAACTTTGTATGATAGCATATCTCAAAAGATTATCTTAATAACATAAAAGAATCCTTTTAAGGCTGAAATAATTATTTTGTGTAACAGATCATACTTTTCTGTTAAGAAAAAAGAACTTAAGGAGAAGTTAAAACTTGGCAGGAGGGGGAACTTAGGGGGAAAAACCAGCGAAAGTTGATGTGTACAGTTCTAGTATCTCAAAACATTTTAAATACTATATAGAAGAAAAACATTCTATGGATAAAGTCATGATAGGAAGAAAGTATGTCTATACAGGGAGTCACGAGGTACTTACAGCAGATAAGGCCAAGATTTGCTGTTGAATTGTTTCTTCATCATTACTATCAACCCATGGGGGCACTGCTGCTTCTAAAGGTTTTAATAATAAAGAAAAAAAGAGAAAAACATGTTACAAAGGTTACACTGCAATCGTGGTTTGAAAGAATAAGTTGCCACATAATCAATGTGGCAATTTATTAATGAGCTCCAAATATGAACATTCATCATAATTCCTAGACTTAAGATATGAATCTAAAGCATGTACGCATTTGGTAAAAAATTACTTGAATTATATGGTGGAGAAATTGGACAACACCTTGACCAAGTGACCCAAATGATCATCACCAATGAAAAAGAGATGGTCATCGTAGGCCTCCAGATGGGCTATCCTGAGAAGGACACAACATCATCTATGTAGTATTCTGGCCAAGAATGCATAATCTGAATCTAATCATGAGGAAATATCAGCCAAAGCCCAACTAGGAAAGGTCTATTAAAAAAAAAAAAAGGAGGCCAAGGGGGCGGGGGCAGAATATCCTTTGAAAACATTAATGTCCTAAAAGACAAAGGTCCTGGATTGGTGCAGATTAAAAGAGGCTAAGACACATGAGGAAAGCTATGCTGCATGCTGTATTGAGGGGGGAAAACATACAAAGGACATTACTGGGTCAATTGACAAAATTAGAATATGCACATCGTATCAGTGTTCTTTTCCTAAAGCTGGTAACTGTCTGGTCAGTGATTATGTAAGAGAATACCCCTAATTCTTAGGAAACACACATTGAGTGGAACAGAAAAGACACACACAGAGGGAGAAAGGGTGTAAAGGACAAGGCAGTTGGACTAAAACCAACAATCTAGGGAGAGGGGGTATGGGTGTTCTCAGTACTCCCTTTATACTCGCAACTGCTCTGTAAATTGAAATTATTTCCAAATAAAAAGTTCTTTTGAAAAAGTCACTGTACTTGATTCATGACAAAAGGTGATAAGCAGTTAGGAACTGAGAAGAGGGTTGTCAGGAGTGAAAGCAAATAAAGAAACGGGCAAATCGGGAAGTAAACAACAGGGCTGGGATCTACAACAGACATGTTGTCTTTGGGGCTCACAAGAAGAAGGGGATTACAACTCATCAGGCTTATACTGTTGGGTGACAAATGCAGCCACTGAGAGGTGAGTCCCAGGGGTTTTCTGCGGAGACCTGGGAGGTGATCTTGGTCTAGGAGGAGTTCAGTGCTGGGTGTGTGTAGGGGGTGTTCAGAGGGAGCAGCAAGTAGGAAATAGTGGAGACAAAGCCAGTGAGCATCCGAACTGGGGCTACCATCTGAGCTGGGGCTGTGGAGGTGGGAGGTCAGCACAAAAGATACATGTAGGGGTTCCTAGTATTTTCAACAAAACACCCCTGCCCTTTTGTGTCATGTGGCAAAAGTCCAATGGAAGAGACATCCTATTGTGTACCAACTGATAGAAAAGTTATGTGCATGTGTGGATAGACATATGGACAGACAGACACCTGGCTCATTCTTAGGCTCATCTTAAACAAGCAAATGGTGGCAATTATAACCCAAATTCTGTTAAATATAAGATAAAATAAGCATATTTTCATACTTAAAAAAATTGGGGTAAAGCCCCTTGAAAACACTATTTGCTTTAATATTCTGGCGTCCAATTTAAGTCTATTCACCTTGGGTGGCCTCTCCTGGTACTACTTAACCCTCAGATGAGGTCCTCTCAAGGCTCAAACTACCAGTATGGATGAGACACTCCCTGCCTCCCTGTTCCTCTGAAACTGCTCTTTTTAGGGTGACCAGTAACCTCCTGGTTGTCCAACCCACGGACAGTTCTTAGTTCTTTTCTCTCTGGGCCCAGTTTCCTTCTTTGTGAAATGGAGAGAAGAGTAAGTACTTCTGAGTTTCTGTGACCGTTAAATGAACAAATGCACAAGGAACACTCACATGGTGCCTTTCCTCATGGTCCTTGTAAATGGACTTCTTAGCCGACCTAACTCTCCTTGAAATTCTCCCCTCTCTGGGCTTCTATTGCTTCTCTCTCCTAGCTGTTGTCTCTTGGTAAGTAAAAATGGGCACTGGTTTTGATGGCAGATTTGCTTCATCACTTACCAGCTGAGCAACCTGCAGTGAATTAACCTTGTTGATCCTACCTTTTAGTAAAGAAGATGTTGCATGTAAACATCAGGCACTCAGGAACTGTCAATTTCTCCCATTCCTTCCTTCCTGTCAACACTGTTAGATCTCTGCTCAGCTCTCTTCATGCTCGACACACTTCTCACTGAGCTCACCTAATCTCATGGTTTTTACACAAATTGACTTCTAATCTGTATCAGTAGATGGAATTCTTCATGCATGCTTCACACAGCAATCAACTGCTCCTGTTGGACCCCATTCAGTTAATTTAGAGCAGTGCCGACCAACAGAACTTTCTGCACTGATGGAAATGTTCTAGGTTTGCACTGTCCAATATGGAAGCCACTAGCCCCTTGTGGCTATTGGGCCTTTGAAATATGACTTGTGCAACCAAGGAATGGAATTTTCCTGCATTCCCTTCCCTGCCTTTGTACATGTTCCTCTCACCTGGGGTCTAATGGGTGTCTCAAAACTGAAAGTGCCTCTGAGCCTTTCCCCTGCTCACTCAAAGTTCCTGTCTCAGAGGCTCTGACCAGCGCCTACCCCAAGTCTCCAAGCCAGGATCACTTTCTCTGCTATCCTAAGGTAGGCTAATTTGTATAGATTTTTTGTCCCCAAAGCTGCTTTCCACTTTGAGTTGCCTGACCCGCCACAGGACTAACTAGCTCTTTTTGAATTTGTGGCACTGCTCAAACTGATGGAATTGTTTTACCCTTTTGCCAAATTCAAAGACAAGAGGCCGGTTTTGTGTTTGAGTACATCCAAACAGTAAAAGTAGACATTTTGAGATCCTGTAACTGCAAACATTTAAACAAGCATTTGTCAGTAATGAAATGCACTAACTTCCTCAAACACTCCATGACTTTTCATGGCCCTCTGTCACTCCTCTAGAAAGCTCTTTCGTTTTTATCTCCTGAAGAGAATGGGAGGGGAGCCAACTTCTGCTAAGTGCCAATTATGTGTATATCACACAGTGTGTTGGCCATGTTATAAAATGAGAAATGAATGCTCACTCTGTCACAGCCAGCTCCCCAGAGGGGCTGTCACCAGTTCCGTGGGAACAATTTCCTCCCTTCCTTTAAACCCCAAAGGTTTATGAGCTTGACTTCCCCACTAGTCTTTGTGCTACCTGAAGGATGGGGGCTGTTACACATTTTTGTATTCTCAGAGCCTCAGTGTGGTGTCTGGCACATTAATAGGTGCTCAATAAAATTTGGTAGGTGAGTCATGTATAAAAACCGGTATCATACCTGACTTTTTGGTATGCTGTTCCTCAACAAATTTTTTCTGTTCCTTCTGAAAATCTCCTATAATGGTCTGTTAAAAAATATATAAAGAGTCAAATTACTTCGAGAAGCTTATTACATGTAAGATTTGTGAAGTCATTTGAGACATTTTATTAATTTTATTCAAATAAAAAGGTTAAAAAAGTGATACTCCACCCTTTCTCCACCAAAAGGGAAAATCAATTCAATAGTTTTGAATTTTAAGTATACAACCTTTTTTATGATGGATTATCTTTTCAAATGCAAAGATAAAATGAGTTAAAAATTGAATTTTTGTTTTATCCCAAAAAACAATAAAAGCCAGGTCAAATCTCATTCTAACATGTAGTACACACAGCAAAGCAGCTAAATAACAAGCTATCTGAAGTTTAATTGATGACCTCCTTAGTTCAAATAATTACCAACATAAATGAAATTCCCCAGGCCTACACCCTACCACTGCAGGAAATGAACAAACTCATTCCTTAGAGTCTGAAAATGTAATTCCTAATGGGACTTTAAAAACTTAACTGAATGATGCAAAGGCATAAATATTTGGAAACAGTTACAGTTTAAAATTAAACTCACAATATAAAAAGTTCAGTATTATGCAAAAGTATCAGTGTATTTCAGAATATATTAAAATTAAAACCAAGGTTATTTAAATCATTGCTACTTCTTATACAAAAAGAAGAAAAAACCCCCAAGAGTCTCAACAATTAATATTTTTGTCAGAATATGATATCCTACTTGGATTAATGATGTTCATAAAAAGAAGGGATAATTATATTTAGCTGCTAATCAATTTGAAAAGATGTTGAAATGTACCTTATCAATGATGTCATCTATCTTTCCTTCTTCTACTGATTTCTTTATTGTTTGTGCTGTTTCAGCAACTGATTCAGTTATCTTTTTTGTAGCAGCAGTTGCAAAGCTAAATAGATAGTCTGTAAAGAATAAAAGACAGTCTATGCTCCATTCAAGTACAATGGTTATTATATTTGTGATTTTTCCCTTAAAGAGCTCTCATGCGAATCTTCAACCATAGGGCATGTTTCTTGTTAACTAGGACGTGAAACGAGAAGCACTGACAGTACCCCACCTTCTGGGTGGACCCGCCGGCCATCCATACCCGGCCTTTAATTCATCTCTTGCAAAGAGCGTTAAGCATACGCCTCCCTTCTCCCCCAGTAGTCTCTTGTTCTAACTTATCTCAGCAAGTAATCTCCCTTCCAACTTCACAAATAAGATCAAGGCTCCTTTTCACTTTCCTTCCTTTCTAGACCCTAAATATCCTATTTTATTTTCTCCTTCCCTCTTGTTCAAAGAAAAAATGTCCCTCCTTCCCGACATTAACCCATCTCGTGATAAATCTGGGGGAATTTTTAATAAATAGAAATCTTGGCAAGCCCTAATATAAATATAAGTCCTTCTTAACTAATAATAATGAGCAAATATGTAGAATAAAATTAAAACCGGAACATATAAACTTTCACCTTTCAAAAGCACAAAATTAATGTTTCTAAAGACCTGAAAAGACATTATGTATCAAAGCTCTATTGCAACCACAACATAAAGGCCTGTATGTAAACAAATATCATTTGGAAGTCCACAATGTATACAACATAGGCTGCGGGAAGCAACCTCAGGCAGGTCCTGAAGCTGGACCCACTGGGGGATGCTCCTGGGCCACTGCCTTCCAGTCTCATCTAGTGGGAGATACTCTCTAAGTTAGGGCACTCTTGCCTCTGCTACTTGCACTTGCTGAGGGGCAGGTGGGTTGACTCTTACAACACTCAGGGAGAAAACCCAGATAAGAATGGCAAAGGGAGCTTGGCACACCAGATTAAATCCTCACTGGTGGCTGGTATCACTTCCAGAGAATCAGGTAACTTGTACCACTACCTGGGAGCAGCAGTACTATCTCCCCATCTGAATGACCTTCTCTTCCACTTTCCATAGCCTTTACCATAAAGAGTCTACTTTCTCCCATTGCGTCTGGTGGCATTCACCTGTCCATGATGTCAACACCCCATTGTGACTATAAAACAGGACACTACTTGCCTATGGTCTCCTTCTCATCATTCTTCCCCCTCCTATTCTACATTCACATGATCCCAAGAAATTCTTGAGTATCTCCAAGGAGGTTTCAGATACATTATTCCTAGGTTTGAAACACCTTTATCTTCCCTCTTTTTATCTGGCTTAACTCTGCATATACTGTGCATCTCCACTTACATATCACTTCTCAGGAAATGTTCCCTGGCTCCTTGACTGGAGTAGGAGCTCCTGAGATGTGTTCCCTCAGCACCTGTGTTGCCCAACCAACAATATTCATGACACTCTATTGATTACTTGGTGGATCTGTCTTCCCAGACAGACTCAGGGCCCATCCTAAGTTCCACTGGGGCAGGGACCAAGGCTGTCTGATTCACCACTGTATCCCCAGTGAGTGACCAATAAGTCCTTGTTGAATGGACAAATGGGGGGCAACATAGTTTTAGGGAAGGGTTTTAGGGAAGTCCCTCATTTGTTTGGTTATGATTAGTCTATTTACAATAAATTGGGTAGACAGCCAGATTATTTTGTAATAATATTCTTTGCAGAGAGTCAAAGAAATCTGAAGTTCTAAAAGAGCAGGGTTCCTTTTAAGATTTTCTCTCAGGAAAATGTTAAAAAAATTTTTTTGATGTTTATTTTGGAGAGAGAAATAGACAAAGCACAAAGCGGGAGGGGCAGAGATAGAGGGAGACCAGAATCTGAAGCAGACTCCAGGTTCTGAGCTGTCAGCACAGAGACCAACACGGGGCTCGAACCTGTGAACCTCAAGATCATGACCTGAACCGAAGTTGGACACTCAACCGACTGAGCCACCTAGGCGGCCCTGAGCCACCTAGGCAGCCCTCAGGAAAATGTTTTTAATTAGAATCATTATTTTTATGGGGCGCCTGGGTGGCTCAGTCAGTTGAGCTTTCGATTCTTGGTTTCGACTTAGGTCATGATCTCATGATTCATGAGTTTGAGCCCAACATCCCGGCATCAGGCTCTGCATTGACAGTGCAGAGACTGCTTTGGATTCTCCCTCCCTCTCTCTCTGCCACTCTCCAACACAGACATTCTCTTGCTCTCTCTCTCAAAATAAATAAAACTTAAAAAAAAAAAAAGAATCATCATTTCTATTGCAAGGAGCACTGCCATTTAAAAACTGGTATTTTAGGGGCGCCTGGGTGGCTCAGTCGATTAAGTGTCCGACTTCGGCTCAGGTCATGATCTCATGGTCCGTGAGTTCAAGCCCCACATCGGGCACTGTGCTAACTGCTCAGAGCCTGGAGCCTGCTTTGGATTCTGTGTCTCCCTCTCTCTGACCCTTCCCCAGTCAAGCTCTGTTTCAAAAATAAATCAACACTAAAAAAAAAAAACAAAAAACAAACAAACAAACAAAAAAAACAAAAACTGGTATTTTAGGGGCACCTGGGTGGTTCAGTTGGTTGAGTGTTTGACTTCGGCTCGGGTTGTGACCTCGTGGTTCGCGAGTTTTGAGGCCTGCATTGGGCTCGCTGCTGTCAGTGCAGAGCCTGCTTCAGATCCTCTCTCGCCTTCTCTCTGGTCCTCCCCTGCTTGCTCTCTCTTTACAAAATAAACATTTAAAATACATAAATAAATAAAATCTGCTATTTTAGCATAAATATCTCAATTCTCAGATTTTAATGAAGTACAGTACACTGAACACACAGAACACTGGAGAAAGTATAGTTCTCGCCCTCAAGGAATGCCCATTTCCAACCAAATAAAAGGCTCAAAGACAAGAGGAGCAAGAATAATCATTAAACAGAAGCACTCAGAGAAGAGAGTAATTAGAGAGTGGTCTGGATTGTGAAGTCAGAGGGAGGAGGGGCATGGGAAAGCATGATAGGAGATTTTCAGGTAAGAAAGCTCATAAAGATGAAAAGTGGCTTATTAGTTTTGAAAATTAACATATCGGCTGACACCAAGTTAAAGAGTTTTAACTACATGGTTAGAAAAAGTTGAGACTAAGATAAGAGTTAACAGGAAGTAATAGGAGTACAATGTCCATTTCGAGAACACAGGCATAAAGAGAAGGTCTCAAATGAAGCAGCAACCAAAGAAAAGGAAGACTAAATAAAATGTGTCCAGTGAGCAAGACTAAGCAACCTTATGAGAGGAGGGGGCAAATTTCAAACACTGAAAGCAGTCATTTTACCTTCATTTTAGACTCATAATCATCCTGGGAAGAATAGGTATAATCTGCCCGGTTTACAGATAGGTAAGCCAAGGCTCACAGAGGATAAATGATTTGCCCATTAAGATAGTGGCAGACTCTGCTGATGGCCTAGCCAATGCCTATCCCCTTCCTCCTTGGCAAAACAACCCCAGTTTTGGTGGGAGCTTATCAAAGCTGGGGGTGGTCTTGGGGACTTCCGACACAATCAAGGTGGTTTTATTAAGCCTCTGTTAGATTTTCCATAATTTGCAGCTGACTTTTCTGTAATTTGCAACTGATATCACAATAAAGACAATAGTACAGAAAACTCAAACACAGGCTATCTGCTTCTAACTGGCAAGCTTGTGCCCCAAATCCCACACTGCCTCATGTCAGATGAGCAAGTGACAAGGGCTTGAAGAACTAAATGGAATGATAAAGATAAAGTGGGGGGCACGGAGTGGCTCAACTGGTTAAACGTCCAACTTTGGCTCAGGTCATGATCTCACAATTTGTGAGTTCAAGCCCCACATCAGGCTCTATGCTGATAGCTCAGAGCCTGGAGCCTGCTTCAGATTTTTGTCTCCCTCTCTGCCCCTCCCCTGCTCGCATTCTGTCTCTCCCTCTCAAAAATAAATAAACATAAAAAAAAAAGATAAAGTGGGAAGGTTCTCAAAGGTTAGAAAAAGCATTAAAATTATCAGAAGAAAGAGAAGAAGGTAGAGTTTGCTTGCTGCTAGAACAGGAAAGAAAATGAGCAGATAGTGATTTCTAAGGCAAAGCTTTAGAAAATTAATATTCTTAAGGCGCTGGCTAATTTTCAAAAATACTTTATTTCATAAAATTTTAGAACCTTCATGTTGGAGGACTTTAGGGAGCATGTGACTTCAACGGGTAGCCAATTATTACTGTTATCCCCCTCTAATTAGGAAATCTTTTCATTTGCCTTGTCATTCCTACCTCTCAGACTTAGATCTGTCCTTTTAACTAACATAAAATGACTTTTCTTTTTTTTAAACATTTTTTTTTCAACGTTTTATTTATTTTTGGGACAGAGAGAGACAGAGCATGAACAGGGGAGGGGCAGAGAGAGAGGGAGACACAGAATCGGAAACAGGCTCCAGGCTCTGAGCCATCAGCCCAGAGCCCGACGCGGGGCTCGAACTCACGGACCGCGAGATCGTGACCTGGCTGAAGTCGGACGCTTAACCGACTGCGCCACCCAGGCGCCCCTAAAATGACTTTTCTATGAAAAAAAAACTTTCAGAATTTTGAGCAATGCCCCTAAGTTTCTTCTTCAAGCCAAATCCCCAGTTCTGTTTAGTATTGATCATAAGCCATGGGATCCAAGCTCTTGACCATTTGTACTGTTCTCTTCATGGTAAGCCAGAGTTTGTCATCAGCAGTGAATTGGTTATTTTATTTCTGTATCAAAGCAGACGTATATTTTCCTATATACTCACTAATTTTTGGAGCCCTTTTAGTCGTACACTAAGCAAGTTAGGCACCTAGAACTTGAAATGTACTTTCCCTATAGAAAAAGAGGATAGCCTAATTAACATAGTTCCACTGCAAATATTAATAGATTTTTTCTTTTTTTAAAAAAAGTTTATTTACTTTTGAGAGAGACAGAGAGAGAACAGGGGAGGGATGGAGAAAGAATCCCAAGCAGGCTCTGTGCTGTCAGTGCAGAGCCTAATGTAGGGCTCAAACTCACCAACTGAACCATGACATCATGACCTGAGCCAAAATGGAGTCAGACGCTTAACTGACTGAACCACCCAGGCACCCCCTACTAATAGTACTTTTCAAAGGAGAAGAGACGATGGCCCTTCCTCCATTTCTGGGCATGGACTGACCTTAGGGATGGTTTTGAAAAAGCCAAAGCTCATTTTTGGCCACTCTCCCACTTGTTTAAACTATGCAAATGACTCACGTATTGAACGTTCTCAGAGGTATGGACTTTTCTTTAAAAAAAAAAAGAAAAAAGTACAGGGTCACCGGGGTGGCTCAGTCGGTTGGGCGTCCGACTTCGGTTCAGGTCATGATCTCATGGTTCGTGAGTTCGGGCCCCACGTCGGGCTCTGTGCTAACAGCTCAGAGCCTAGAGGCTGCTTCTGATTCTATCTCCTTCTCTCTCTGCCCTTCCCCTGCTCTCACTGTGTCTCTTTCTCAAAAATAAAATAAAAACATAAAAAAAATTTCTTAAAAAAAAAAGTACAGATAAACCTTCAATTTGGTCGACTTCAACAAAAACCAAACAACCAGTTTGTACTGAATAATAAGTTACTTTGAGGCATGAGGCCTTCAGGGAGGTTGGGAGGAGCTTTTCAGTGAGTTCCCTTATCAACTGTCTCCTTCTGAAGCAGGTGATCCTAGGAGGCTGGAGTTTATCAGGAGGGAGGACCAAGGTTGGGAAGGTTTGGTTTTAGGTGACGGAATGGAATGTAGGCCTGGGTGTCCACCACTTGTAACTGGTGAGTTGCCTACATTTACAAATAGATCACCATGAACCAGAAGTATTTAGAGTCCAGCCCTGAAGGCAGGCACTCAACAAATGTTTACAGAACAAATGGGGCTCCCAGGAGAGTCCGTGTAGATTTTAAAAGACTAAAGAAATGAATCTATTCAGTGGTTGTCAGGCTCAGAGGTGTTTAACTTCAGGTTTTTTATTATTTATTTTATTTTATTTATTTTTAAAAATATTTTTATTTTATTTTTGAGAGAGAGACAGAGCACAAATGGGGGAGGGACAGACAGAGAGGGAGACACAGAATCCAAAGCAGGCTCCAAGCTCTGAGCTGTCAGCATGGAGCCCGATGAGGGGCTTGAACCCACGAACCATGAGATCATGACCTGAGCCGAAGTCGGATGCTGAACCAATTGAGCCACGCAGCCGCCCCATAACTTCAGTTTTTTTTAAAAAAAAGTTTATTTATTTGAGAGAGAAAGACAGAAGGAGAGAGTGGGAGAGGGGCAGAGAGAGGGAGAGAAAATCCCAAGCAGACTCTTCGCTGGATGCCATGAATCTGGAGATCGTGACCTGACTGAAATAAAGAGTCTGACACTTAATGGACTGAGCCACCCAGGTGCCCCTAATTTCAGTTTTTAAAAGATGAGTCTTTTTAAATTTTTTTTCAACGTTTTTTATTTATTTTTGGGACAGAGAGCCAGAGCATGAACAGGGGAGGGTCAGAGAGAGAGGGAGACACAGAATCGGAAACAGGCTCCAGGCTCCGAGCCATCAGCCCAGAGCCCGACGCGGGGCTCGAACTCACGCGAGATCACGCGAGATATCGCGAGATCGTGACCTGGCTGAAGTCGGACTTAACCGACTGCGCCACCCAGGCGCCCCAAAGATGAGTCTTTTTAAAGACAACATACCTTTTAGGATCAGTACGTAGAAATAAGAAAATATCTGATCATCTCTCTTATCTTTCTGAAGGTTTGTGTGTAAACAAGAACCTTTTCATATTTTTAAAATCACATAAATTTCAGAACCAAAAGAGCTCTCTTATTTGGAAACGACATTTGCAATGTGCGTGTGGGTGGGGAAATTGGGATTCTGTCTTCCTCGTTCTCTGCCCCTCCCCTACTCTTTCCCTCTCAAAATAAATAAACTTAAAAAAAACAAACAAACATGAAATTAAAACATCTCTGAGCCTGACTCCCACTTGGGTAGATTCATGGTAGTACTTCCAGCTAACCTTAGCTTCCCCAAACACCAAGAGTCTGGTGAGGAAAGAAAGAGGTGGGAGCATTAGGCTCCAAAGTAGACATCCATATTGAAAATAAATCTATTTTAGAATATTCAGGACTTAGTTACTAAATACAAACATGAAGTTTCAAGTTGATGATAAAGTCCTCACTGTTTTTAATATAATTTATTGTCAAATTGACTTCCATACAACAGCCAGTGCTCATCCCAACAAGCGCCCTCCTCAATGCCCATCACCCATTTTCCCCTCTCCCCCCCCCTTTCCCATCATTCCTGTTTGTTCTCTATTTCAGAGTCTCTTATGGTTTGCCTCCCTCTCTCCCTGATTGTAACTATTTTTCCCCTTCCCCTCCCCCACAGTCTTAAGTTTCTCAAGATCCACATGAGTGAAAACATATGGTATCTGTCTTTCTCTGTATGACTTACTTCACTTAGCATAACACTCTCCAGTTCCATCCACATTGCTACAAAAGGCCAGATTTCATTCCTTCTCATTATCAAGTAATATTCCATTGTGTATATAAACCCCAATTTCTTGATCCATTCATCAGTTGGTGGACATTTAGGCTCTTTCCATCATTCGGCTGTTGTTGAAAGTGCTGCTATAAACATTGGGGTACATGTGCCCCTATGCATCAGCACTCCTGTATCCTTTGGGTACAAGAGTCAGACGCTTAACCAACTGAACCATCCAGGTGCTCCCAGCCTGTGACTCTTGATCTCAGAGTTGAGAGTTCAAGCCCCAAGTTGGGTGCAGAGATTACTTTCAAAAAAAAAAAAAAGTGACTTTTAAAAAAATGTTTATTTATTTTTGAGAGAGAACATGCGGGGGAAGAGCAGAGAGAGAGGGAGACAGGATTCAAAGCTAGCTCTGCGCTGCAGCAGAGAACTCGATGTGGGGCTCGAACTCACAAACCATGAGATCATGACCTGAGCCCAAGTCGGAGGCTTAACCAACTGAGCCACCCAGACACCCCAGAAGTGACTTTTGCTAGTTCCCTGAAGATCAACGAAAATGGCTCTCTATGTTGTATGAAATGGAGTAAACACCCATACCCTGCTTTTCCTAACATGGTCCCACTTGTATCCATCTCAACTACCTAACATAGCCTTGCTAGTTCTAGTCCAATTCATCTGACATCTTTTGAAAATGGCAAGCTCGTTTCTCCTCAATTTTCTACACAGGAAACAGTTATTCCCTCTTTAGAGATTTTGTTGTACAGCACTTGGTTTTATTTCTCTTGTGCACTGTTTGGGGGCCTTGAGCTGAGGTTCTGTACTGCCATGATTTTACATTAGATCTATTTTCCCTGCCCCTTCCCCCAAACTTTTTGAATGTTACAGCCTTTTTCTTTTAATGTTCATGTATTAATTTATGAGAAAGAAAGAGAAAACAAGAGAGGATAAGCATGAGCCGGGGAAGGGCAGAGAGAGAGAGAGAGAGAGAGAGAGAGAGAGAGAGAGAGAGAGAGAATCCCAAATAGGCTCCTTCCTGTCAGCAAAGAGCCTGACTCGGGGCTTGAACTCACAAACTATGAGATCAGGACCTGAGCTGAAATCAAGAGCTTACCCAGGTGGCCGGTTTAGCGCCTTTCTTATTCTAACATGTGTTTCTCCACTTTCAGACTCCACCCTCCCCTATGCTCTTCTTGCCTTTTAGCAGATTCTTTAAAAATGCTTGCTAAATTTACTATCTACCTTTGCCACAGCTCTCTCACTTGTAGTGCCACCTGCTTTAGGACTCACCTTCTCAAGGATGTTTTCTTTGATCATTTAAGCCCGCCAAGGTCTCCAGAATCAGAATTACCAGAGCGATGTGTTTATTTTTCAAGCCTACCAGTTTCACTGTCCTCCCTAACTAGACTGTGGCTTGCAAGGGGTACGGACTTTCAAATGAGACAGACCTGGGTTCAAATTCCACTTCTACCATTTGCCATAGCTTTGAGCCAGTAACTGTAGGCTTGTTCTCCCAACTCACAGAGGTGTTTAACACATTAAATAAGAAATCGGCCACAAGCCATCCGGTACTGAAACCTGCATCCCAGACAATAATCGACAACTACTTTCCCGCCTTAAAAAAAAATTCCGCTGCACCTAAACCAGCCTGAGGGACGCCTTCGGTAACTCTTCCCGCAATTTATTTCAGACAACACACTCGGCGCTACAGACGCAAAAGGGCACTTTTCCAACCGACTTAAGCTCCCCAACGCCCCCCGTCCTGGGGGTGGGGGGTGTGCAGGTGAAAGCTCAAGAAATGAATAAAAAAGATTCCCTGTCAAACCTAAAGACGTCGAGCCACACCGCTTTGCGGAGGCCCTGGCTCCCAATGTTTACACACCTCGTAAGGCGGTGACCTGTCACCAGGAACTTGCCCACAATCTGACTGCTGGATGAAGCTCCAGCCTTGCCCAGATCCTCACCAACCTTTCCCGTCCCAAGAGGACCCACAGACACACCTTCCTCCCATTCCACCCGCTCCACACCCCCCAAGCAGTCGGGCCTGCGCCCCGGGCGTCAAGAGGAGGGAGCGGGCATCCCCCTACACTCTCTGGTCCCGAGGGCTGGAAGAGACTCACTGCCGAGGCCTTTCGCCTGGTGAAGGAGTTCCTGGTCCCCCGCTTGCTGCGGCTCCCCATCCACCGACTCGGTCACCGCTTCGGAGCAGTTCTGGGGTGGAGCGTCTCCCTCCAGCTGCCTGTCTCCCTCAGATTGCCGGCCACCCGCCGCCGGCTGCTCCAAGCCAAACCAACTGCTCAAACTCCGGAACATCCCGCCCGCGGTGCCGCTACCGCGGTCCGGGTCACCGGAGACCCTAACTAGCACCGCCGGCTAGCGACTCCACAACGCTTGTCTCCAGGGGAGATGGCCAGAAATGCGACCCGCGAGCAGCCTGTCTATCCGTCTCCCAGTCTCTATGGCAGCTCCGCCGCCGGCCGCGCGTGCGTCACTTCCGCCAAAGGCCCCGCCCCCGTGGGCTGTTTATTTCAGTAACTTTATGACGTGCGTGGAAAGCGGACAAAGGTTTTTCCCAGCGTAGTCCCGCCCTGTCGTCTCTCCTCCTTCCCCAGCGTTTCTAGGTGATTGACCCTGCCGTGTAAACGGGTCTTTGTCACTCTAAGCAGCTTGGCTACTGGCTCAGCCTCGCTTTGTCAGGCCACGCTGGGCCGTCCACGCAGAAATGAGGTCTTTAGCCCCTTTCTGAGTCCGAATCAAAATTGGCCCAGGGCCTCTAGGTCCAACGACCAATTTACAGGGAATACAGCAGACTAAGGAAAGCATTAGAGGACTCCATGGGATGCGGGCAGCAGAATCTAAGCTGTGAGAAACCACAGGACAAACGACCTTGTTTCTTCAAATAAATTGCAACAGAGGGGAAGGGGAACCTATAGGTTAGAAATGAATTTAGAGACCTAACCCATGACAACCAGTGGATTTTATTTGGATACTAATTCAAGCAAACATTGGGAGAAAAACTGTGACGTTTATAAGAATTGGAAATTTGAGCAATGGATAGTTGATGAAAGTAAGGAATCGTCACATTAAAATTTTAATTGTAGAATACACATAAAATGTATCATCTTATCCATTTTTAAGTGTACAGTTTAGTAGCGTTAAGTGCATTCACATTGTTGTGCAACTATCTCCAGAGCTCTGTGAGTTGCAAAATGCATTAAACAACTCCCCATTCTTTCCTCCCACCAGCCCCTGGCACTCACCAATTTGTCTCTTATGAGTGTGACTACTCCAGGAACTTCATGTAAGTAGAATTATACCGTATTTGTCTTTTTTTTGTGACTGCCTTATTTCAGTTAGCAAATGCCCTTGAGGTCATCCATGTTGTGGCATGTGTCAGAATTTTCTTAAAATTCTGCCTTAACAAAAGGCTGTGTTAAAAAAGGCTGAATATTTATTTATTTGGAGAAAGAGAGGGAGAGAGAGAAAAAGAATCCCAAGCAGGCTCTGCGTTGTCAGCATGGAGCCCGATGTGGGGCTCCAACCCATGAACCATAAGATGACCTGAGCAGAAATCAAGAGTCAGATGCTTAACTGAGCCACCCAGGTGCCCCATACTACTGTTTGTTTATCCATTTATGTGTTGATGGACATAGGGATTGTTAATCTTTAAATTGTGGTGGTAGTATTGTGTGTATTTAAAGGAGTTTTTATATTTTAGAGAGTTGTACTGAGATATTTACCAATGAAATGATAGGATGTCTGACATTTGCTTCAAATTAATACAGGATGGGGGGAAATGGGTAGGGATATAGGTGAAACAAGCCTGTCCAGGGATTGGCAGTTGTCCAAGCTGGTGGTTATACTTTATGTCTGCTGCTCTATACTTTTATTTTTTCCCATAATAACATGTAAATAAACAAAAAAACGAGTCAAGTAAACAACTACCCCTCCAAACAATTCATGAACATATTTCACAAGCACAGTCTCAAGCAATCCGTTGGCAAAGGACACCCATGATTCCTCCTCCCACCATTTTGAAAAGAGTAACTTAGTTCCAGTGACTTGTGTGAATACTTGGGGACACATTGTGATAGATTATGATTCTGATTTCCCTGCTCTCCAGTTTTCCAGCCTGAGGTATATTTACAATTCAGGTCCAGGACTTTAGCTTAATAAACCCAAACAGCTTTATTGAGATATAATTCACATACTACGTAATTAATGTGTTTAAAGTGTACAATTCAATGGTTTTTGGTATATTACTCTATTAATTTTTTAAATAGCAATAAAATATATATTAAAAAATCTGCCATTTTAACTATTTTTAAAGGTACAATTCAGTGGCATTAATGACATTCCAGCCTGTTTTTAGAGTCAGACCTCTTAGGACCAGTGTTTTCTAGGATTTGTGTCAGTGAGAACCTGAAGGTGGTCAACACTTTATTGAGAAGGGATATTTGGTTCAAGTATGATAGAAATGAGCCTAGAATTTCAGTCAGGAGCTTACAGGAATGAAGATTCTAACTTCACCATCTACTAAATGAATAACCTTGACTTGTTATTTGTCCTTTCTGCCCTTCAAGTTTCTTCACCTGCAAAAATGTACTGCCAGGCGCGGGGGTGGGCTTTCAGTAAGCAGAGGTAGGTCTCAGCCTATTCCACTTTACTTTTGCTTTATCTCCAGGAGCACCCAAAACCACAGTGAAGGCTGTGTTTCCCAGGGAACAGACAGTTTTACAATTGTTCTGAAAGGTAGAATTCTTCAAAATAAAAAGACTGTAAAAGAGCATGAGCCATCTACTTAATGGCAGACTTCTTTATCATCTCTTTTTTATCCTTATTGCTATGCTGGTAGTAGGCCATTAATAAATACTTGTTGAATGAGGATATTCTTGTCCCACCCAAATCAATCTGAATCCTCTTATCAAATCTGTTTTTCTGCTAGATCCACTCCCCCCCCCACAATTTTGGATTAATAATACAATAGTTATCATAATAATCCCTTTGTATTCACAAAATATCTTTTATCTGTTAGCTACATAGATGAATAGACTAAGATAAGGATAAGACCCCACATCTTGTGGTGAAGAATCTGGCTTTGGGGGTAAATGTTTTACAGTGACTTTGCCACTCATATTAACTAATGTACCTTTGGTCAGGAAACTTCACATCTCTAAGCCTCAGGTTATTCATTATAGAAAGGGGATCATAGTAATTGTCCTGGTTATAAAAAGGGAATGAAGTATTGAAATGTGGAAGGAAGTCTTACATATGTGCCAGGTAAGTATCACCATTGATGTCAACCCATTTCATAAATGTTCTTTCCACAGGATCCTCTGGGAGACTTGTTTCATAACAAACCTCTCCATGCCTCCAGCCTTCAAAGGTGTTTCCTCCTTTTCAAAAAATGTATTTATTGGCTTTCATGAAGACTTTGGGCTTCCATACAGTTCCTACTGAGTGGAGCCTCTATTTTTCCAGAAGGTGACATCACTGTCCCTAGCTCCTTCCTGCTTCTTCCTTGACACTACTCTGTCATCCTTGGTGGAGAGAAACTCCCCTTTGCTTTGAAACTCATCTAATTTTTGCCATACAACCCTCCAACCATCCTTGTTGCTGTCATCTATTAGCTTTGGGATCACTCATCCACATTCACTGAAGATTTGGTTTCTTGGCCTCCATTGGCTCATCCAAGTTCAAAGCCCTCACTGTCCCGTGCACCGGCCTGGTGGGTGCTAGGTCCAATTTCAGTGATGCCCATCTCATTTGACTCTATTTTAGCTGTCAGACCCTAAACTGTATCATCTCCTGGAATTACTTACCCTTTGAAGTCTCCAATGCCAACCCTACACTCTGGTGACAATGTGCCAGCTCCCTTATAACCATAGTCCCTTTGTCTTTAGTTCTCTTTTCTTTCTCCTAGTCTGTCAGCTCCACATTGCTGTCAGTCCTTCCCTGCGTGGACTAGACTCTTAGTGCATTACCATAATCAGATTCTCTCAGGCCCTTAACTGCCTCACTCTTTTTCCCTCTACTCAGCCCACAAACTGCTTTAATCATAAATATCCATATTTATAGATCTACCTATATAGCTGGCAAAATCATAGCTGGCCACCGTTACGCAACACTGGTTATGACTCCTCTAGGTCTTCAATGACACTTGTCTCACTTGGCACTCTAGTGACTCGCTGGTTATTCACAATTTTCACCACTTTCCTAACTCTTCTATCTCAATTCCCATCCCTTCTATTGTCCAGTTAGATCCTTTCTCCTTCAGCGGTTTGTGTTCCTCCCTTTGCCTTAAAAACGTGTGTCCTCTCCCAGCCCCAGCCAGCCTCCAAACACTTTTTAAAAAATATTTTTTATGTTTATTTTTGAGAGAGAGAGAGAGAGAGAGAGAGACAGAGCGCGCGCGCAAGTGGGGGAGGGGCAGACAGAGAGGGAAACATAGAATCCAAAGCAGGATCCAGGCTCTGAGCTGTCAGCACAGAGCCTGATGCAGAGCTTGAATCCATGGACCTCGAGATCATGACCTGAGCCCAAGTCCGAAGCTCAACCGACTGAGCCACTCAGGCGCCAGAAATCCTCCAAATACTCTTATTAAACAGTCTGGAAGCCCTGATTGTCCTTTCCCAACCCAGCTTCGCCCCCTCTCCCCTTCACTAGTACTGTTTGAGGAACTTTACTGATTTGTTATATTAAATATTTTATTTACAACTTTAAAAAATGTTTATTATTTTTGAGAGAGAGAGACAGAGGGCGAGTGGGGGTGGGGCAGAGAGAGTGATACTCACACTCCCAACCAGGCTCCAGGCTCTGAGCAGTCAGCCCAGAGCCTTGTGCAGGGCTCGAACTCAGAATCGTGAGTTCGTGACCTGAGCCGAAGTCCCACGCTTAACCACTGAGACACTCAGGAGTCCCCAAAATTGTATTCTTAAGTAATCGCAACACGCAACATGGGGCTGGGACCTACAATACCCAGATCGGGAGTCGCAGGCTCCACCCAGCCTGGCGCCCCAAGGAACTTTAATGATTTCAATAGACGTGTCGAGCTGCCTCCAGACTGCAAGCCCCTCAAAGGCAGGAATCGAGTTTTATTTGCGTCCTCTTCTTAGCGTTCCTGCAGTTCCTGGAGTGCAGTAAGGGTTCCACAAACGTTTGTGACAGCGTGAAGCTCTTTACAGTGGTGAGAACTGGACGGGAGGACCCAAGCCAGGGTGTCGCCTTGCCTAGAGGCAGGGGCTCGCCGGGAACGTGGCGTTCACCCGCGCTTCCGAAGTGCCTCTGCTAAGTGAGCCACGGAGGGGAGGAGCAGTCCCCGGGCTGAACGAGGCCTGGGGCCAAGTGCATCCAGGGCGGAGGGTGGCGGGAAGCTGTCTGTGCCTGAGGAGTCACTTTTTAGGTGCTTGTTTTGGAACATTGCACAAACGCGGGTGCAAACCCCAAGCTCACCAGCGTGAGTCAGCGGGGCCGGCAGCCGGAGGAGAGGGAAAGGTGGGCGAGGAGGGCGCCGCGCACCCCGAGGCCCGCGCGGGCAGCGGGAAGGACCCGGTGGCGACAAGGGACACCCCTAGCGGCGGCCCCTTCCCCAGCCCTACAGGTGAGCGCGGGCCCGCCGCGGGGCGGAGCGCGCCGTCCCTACTGGCCACCCTCCTGGCGCCACCACCACCGCCGCAGGTAACCCCCCTCCCGGACCTTCCCCGGACCCCCAGGGCCTCCGAGCCCCCAGCCCCGGCGCGCACGTGGGGCCGGGCGCCTTTGTCCGCTCGCCGATGGCGCCCGCGCCGAGCCGAGAGGGGCCGGCAGCCGGGCGCGTCCCCGCACCCCGCGCACGCAGACTGCCGGCGGACGGCGGACGGGCGGGGGCCGGGGCTGCCCTGCCCGCGCCCAGTGCCGTCGGAACCTGCCGTGCGGCGGCCCCGCGATCCGGCCTCCCGAGCGTCGCGTCCCCTGGGTGCGCTTCTCCCCGCACGGGCCTCGGAAGGGGGCGCAGGGGCAGGCTGCGCCCCGGGCCCCATTTCTCCCTGGCCTCGGGAGCCGGGAGAGCCCCGAGATGGCGTTGGCGGAAGTGAAGCCCCGCGTGGAGTGAAATGGCCTTTCTGTCCCCTCCCCCGCCTGGTGCACTCCTTAAACAACGACCCTAGCATTTTCCCCAGAATAGCTGCTAAGGGCGCACTGTGGCTAAGTACGCAGCTGTTACAAAATAGCTTTCTTTTTGCAGCAGTTTTTACGGATTTGATGTGTAATTTACATGCAACGAAATGCACCCATTTTAAGGGTGCAGATCAGGGATTTGACAAATTATACACCCGTGTGATCGCTACCCCAACTTTGACGTAAACCATTTACATCACCCCAGAAAGTTCCCTCGTGCCCCTTTCCAGTCAATCCACCCCCCCCAACCTGCCTGATTTCTATAATAGCTTAGTTTTGCCTGCTTTAGAACTTAATAAAATGGGATCATTCAGGAAGTACTCTTGTTTGTGACTAATACGTTTTAAATGGCTGTCACTGAGAAGGTGTGTCTTGGTGCTTCTGACATTTTTAATTGCTCAAGGCCCGCAACTGTCCAGTGTGGCAGCCACTGGCCACGTGTGGCTCTTGAGCGTTGGAAATATGGCGAGTCTGAATTGAGATGTGCTCGAAGTACCAAATTTTGAAGACTAGAACAAAAAAAAAAAAAAGGGTTGTAAAATACCTCACTAATGAATTCTGATATTGATTATATGTTAAAATGATACTATTTTGGATACATTGGGTTAAGTAAGATATTGTTAAATTAACTTCATCTATTTCTTTTTACTTTTTAAATCGGCTACTACTACTAAATTTAAAGTTACACCGGTGGTTCCTGTAATGTTTTTATTGGACAGCAGACAGAGCAGCTCTACACACTCCTGTTTTACAAACTGTTTTACAAACAGTTCCGTTCACTGCATATTAAAAAAAAAAAGTAAATGAAAACTTTAGTCTTCATATGGTGAAGACATACAGATTCAGGGAAGTAGCCTAAAGAGCCTGATTTTTCTTACAGTTTTAAAACTTTGCTTCAAACTTACTGCCTTGCTTACAAGTTGAAAGGAGTAGGTGTCTCTTCGATATTAAGTTACATTTTCAAGAAGAACATTGTAAAATATCTGATGTGCTTAAAAAAGGTTATCTTGTGCCTTTGAAAATATAAAAAAGTAGTAATTGCCTACAGCCCAACCACCTAAGTATTAAAATTTAGCTTTTTGAGGTACTTTTGATAAGTTTTCATTAAAAAATATAATTGAGATCATGTATTCGATTTTATATCCTTGTATATAAGGGAATTTTTTATGAAAAATTCTTAGGCTTTTTGACAACCACATAATGAGACTTCACATGAACGCACTCTTGTTTTCAATGGCATTTTTTGATTTTGCTAACTTTCACAAATAGGAAGTCATTTATTTTTATTTTTATTTAAAAATATTTTAATGTTTATTTAGTTTTGAGAGAGAGACAGAGCGCAAGCGGGGAGGGGCAGACAGAGAGGGAGACACAGAGTCTGAAGCAGGCTCCAAGCTGTCAGCACAGAGCCCGACACGGGGCTGGAACCCAGGAACCACCAGTTCATGACCTGAGCCCTGAACTACAGAGGGATCCCAGGAAGTCATTTTAATAGTGTCACAGTGCAAGTATAAGTTACAGTTACAGCAGTGCTCATTTTGTACCGGAACCAAATGAGACTTTGTTCAACCCATGCCCAGCAAGCCAATAAAAACTGACACTGAGCTTTTTGCAGTAAAGGAAGATAGGCTATTTATTGGTGTGATGCTACCTAGGAGAACAGGGAGCTAATCCTCTAAAGTTCCTAACTCCCTAATGGTTTGCAAGTGAGAGGGATTTTAAGGGCAAGATTTGGGGCAGGGATCTCCTGAGAAGGTGGATGCCATGAGATCATGCTAGCAGGTGCTCGGGTGCTCCTTCCTCTGACTTTGTGTTTATGTTGGAGATTTCATTAGGTACACCTGGTAATTACGTCTTTACTTGTAAGGGAATGGAGTTGCAATCCTACGGGTTCCTTGGATTGCTGTTCCTAGTCCAGCTGCGGCTCGGGGCGATATGACCTCTAGTATTCATTCTTTCCTCTCAACTGACAAAACGCACGCTGGCTTCAATTTGCCCCTTAATCCCGTAGGAAAGGTGAAGTCCAAGAGGGCAGGGGTCTTGCCTTTTTGTTCATCCCCATAGCCCCAGGACCTGGGAACATGTCAAGCATAATAGACATTTAATAAACACTTGTGAGCTGATTGAATGGTGAGCAGAGTGCTGTGAAAAATGCTAACGGCTAACTTTCATTGAGCACTTGGGCACTCTCTTTGTAAATGCCCACATGCCCGTATACCGCGGGCACTATTATTATGTCTGTGGACTGCACAGGTAGGGAAATTCAAGGTTTAGAAAAGCTGAAAAAGTTGCCCAGGGTCAGAGTTGTAAATAACAGAGTGAACATTTGAACTCAGGCTGTCTGACTTTAGAGGAGGGGCACTTATCAAAACAGAAGAAATCAACAGAGGAGTGGGTAAGGGAGAGCTGTGAAGAAATTACCCCTATAATGACCACCTGGGCCAGTGGGAGTGGAAAGAGGCGAATATTCAGATGTATTGTGGATCCACAGGAGGACCATTCTGGGTTTGGACTGATTGTGAATCTTTTATGCTAAATTTAGCTGCAGTCAATGGAATGCCAGCTGGCTAGGGAAGGGGAACAATGGCACTGGATGTGATCACCTGTAGTGTGTAGACAAAGGTAGGTCCAGGGACTTAGGGAAGCCATTTGGGATGGGACATATGTGTATAAAAGTATATACTTATATGTATGTGTATATCTATATTTGTATGCTTTTTTTAAGTTTATTTATTTATTTGGGGCAGGGAAGGAGAAGTGGGGGAGGGAGAGAGAGAATCCCAAGCAGGCTCCACACCATCAGCACAGACTCTGGTGCAGGCCTTCAACTCACGAACCGTGAGATCATGACCTGAGCCGAAATCAAGAGTCAGATGCTTAACCGACTGAGCCACCTGGGCTCAGTGTATTTTGTATGGCTTCATGTATATTTTGGATGGCTTCAGTTTACTTGCCTTGACCATGGTCGACTAGTTTAAATTGAACTCAGAGCTCTGAAGTGAGGTATAACCTTATACACCTTCAAATCATGATTGTTTTGAAAGTAAATTACAAAATCAGAATGGGCATCAGCTGACCTCTAATCTATAGCTCATTCAATCCTCACAACCACCTATGAGATTTTTTAAAATGTTGGCTTATTTGAATATTGATTTTTTTAAAGAAAACAGACTTCGTGTTTTTGAGCAATTTTAGGTTCATAGCAAAACTGAGCGGTAAGCACTGAGTTCTCATGTATCCCCTGCCCCCACAGGCACAGCCTTCCCCACTGTCAACATCTGGAACCAGAGTGGTTCATTTGTTACAACTGATGAACCTACATTGATACATTATTATCATCCAAAGTCCATTAGACTACATTGGGGTTTGCTTTTGGTGTTTTACATTCTGTGGGTTTGGACAAATGCATAATGATGTGTATCCACCATTAGAATATCACACAGAACAGTTTCACTGCCCTAAAGATCCTCTGTGCTCTGCTTATTCATCCTTCCCTCCCCCTAAACTCTGGCAACCACTGATATTTTTATTGTCTCCATAGTTTTGCCCTTTCCAGAATGCCAAATAGTTGGAATCATACAGGATGCATGTAACGTTTTCAGATTGGCTTCTTTCGCTTGGTAATATGCATGGCAGTTTCCCCCATGTATTTTCATGGCATGATAGTTCATTCCTTTTTAGTGCTGAATAATTCTCCAAGGAACTGCTATTTTTTTTTAAGTTTATTTATTTGTGGGGGTGGGGGGAGTGGAGAGAGAGGGAGAGAGCATCCCAAGCAGCCTCCATGCTGTCAGTGCAGAGCCTGATGTGGGGCTCGATCTCACAAAAACGTGAGATCATGACTTGAGCTGAAGCCAAGAATTGGATGCTTAACTGACTGAGCCACTCGGGCACCCTGGGACTGGTATCTTTTATCCTATTTCACAGATAAAGAAACAGGCACAGAGGGGATTAGTAACTTGCCCAGATACAATCAGTACAGATCAGTTTGATTATAGGTCCTTGTCTCTTCTGGGGCAGGTGGGTGGCTCAGTTGGTTAATTGTCCGACTTCGGCTCAGGTCATGATCTCGTGGTTCATGAGCTTGAGCCCTGCGTCAGGCTGTGTGCTGACAGCTCAAGGCCTGGAACCTGCTTTGGATTCTGTGTCTCCCTCTCTTTGCTTTCCCCTCCCCCTCCCCCTCCCCCTCCGTCTCTCTCTCTCTCTCTCTCTCTCTCTGAAAAATAAACCTTAAGCAAAAATTTTACCATGCCTCTGAATTCCATGAAAATTTGGTTTCTCGTGATGAAAAGCAAGAGTTTTTCACGTGACAGAGTTGGGGTAAATGGAAAATCAGGGCAATGGAGCCAGCCACTTTGCTTGCAGAAAGTTTCCACAGCTTCCTGCATATCGACGAAAATGGAAAACCGAGAAAATAAGATTTTGTTTCAAAAATTTACTTTATATGGAAAAATGCTGTCTGCTTTTGAAATTCTGGTTTAACCCCCTCCTGCTTCACTGGTTTGAGAATATGTTTCTCTTCCCTGACCCTTAATTTTTTTTTTTTTTAAATTTTTTTTTTTCAACGTTTATTTATTTTTGGGACAGAGAGAGACAGAGCATGAACGGGGGAGGAGCAGAGAGAGAGGGAGACACAGAATCGGAAACAGGCTCCAGGCTCTGAGCCATCAGCCCAGAGCCTGATGTGGGGCTCGAACTCACGGACCGCGAGATCGTGACCTGGCTGAAGTCGGACGCTTAACCGACTGCGCCACCCAGGCGCCCCTTTGACCCTTAATTTTATTATCTTTCAGATTATATCTGGGTGCTGGCACCTAGCCACTCATCTCCCAATGAAGTACATTCTGGTCACTGGAGGGGTCATCTCAGGCATTGGTAAAGGGATCATCGCGAGCAGCATTGGAACGATTCTCAAATCATGTGGACTCCGAGTCACTGCCATCAAAATTGACCCTTATATTAACATCGATGCAGGCACTTTTTCACCTTATGAGCACGGTATGAGAGAATAATTTCCCCGTCTTATAAAGCATGGGGTTAAATTGCAGTTCTTTCTTGTATTTTGGGTAATTTCTTTAGGTTAGAGTTCCAGAAGTAGAGTTGCTGGATCATACATTATGAACATGTGTATGAGGATACCATTTTGATTGTACCTTTTGCAGTACAAATTATGTTTTTTATTTTACAATAGAGGTCATATAGTTCTCTTAACATTTCATTGTTAAGAGAAGTCAGACAATATAGATCATATTGACAGTTATATTGACAATATAGACTGTCATGAAGAAAATAAAAATCATCCATTTCCCACCACTTGGGGCAACTATTAGTAATGTGGACATTTGAGTGTATATGCCAATTACTTTTAATTTTTTTTTTCAACGTTTTTATTTTTATTTTTGGGACAGAGAGAGACAGAGCATGAACGGGGGAGGGGCAGAGAGAGAGGGAGACACAGAATCGGAAACAGGCTCCAGGCTCCGAG